CTTGAGTCTCCAGAGTGACTTGATTTAGATAATCATTGATGTCCCCAGTCTTCCTTGACCAGAAAACTAGTGTTCTTCCATGGAATAGCTCCCAGGTACAGTGCTTTACCCACCTCCCCTTGCACAGGCTGGCCCTGTTGCCCAGGACAATTGAATATTTTATGTATCTTTTGAAAACTTTGCTCAGTGTCTGGCTGGATGTTCTGTATCTGGAATTTGTAATTCCTGATGTAATAAGCAATCCTGAAATGAGTATGTATACTCCACTTGCTTAATTTTATATATTTGTTATCCAAATCAGGAGAAAGGTGTGTTTACATCGTGTGTTCTCCACATCCTCAGCTTGAAGAGCATATGGAAGGGCCAGGGAGATAGCTCAGTGGCATAAGCGCCTGCCAGGCAACCGCAAAGTCCTGAGTTCGATCCCTAGAATAAAAAAGAAAGAAAGAAAGAAAGAAAGAAAGAAAGAAAGAAAGAAAGAAAGAAAGAAAGAAAGATTATGTGGAGGCTTTAAGGAATTTTAATGATCCCAAAAGTTCTTTCTTCAGCCTCTAAATCTCTGCCTAGAAGAAGAGAATGGAAATGCTGACCTGACAAACTTGAAACAGTAAGAATTGATAAAGGGACTAAAGCCAACAATTAATTGCTCTTAGGTGTTTCAAAGTGTCAACTTGCAGAGGTAAATATTCTGCTGGTTCTTCAGTCATTGCCCAAGTCTTGGTTCATGAATCGCTTGGCCCTGTTTCCCAAATCTGAAATGTCTTCTTCCTCTGTCCACCAAGCTCACTCACTTCAGTTCTTCCGAGACTTGGCTCCAATCTTACCAGCTCTAGGAAGGCTTTCATACTGGAACTCCTCAGTGACATGCTTCTCACTCTGTATTGTTTTATGCATTGTAGTTGCACCATTTTTAACAACACAGCCAAGTAGGAAGAGGCCACCATGGCAGCTGGGGCATTAGCCTCGTCACTCTCAGGACTTGACCTCAGTTTTCTCGCCTACGAAAACAGAAGGTTAGAGCAGGAAATCTTAATCCCTCTGGCTCTGAAACTCCACTTTTTGTTATTATGTGTTTTGAGTTCTTAGGCCTCACTCTAAATATATATGCAAACACTGGTTTTGCTGTTTCTCTGTTCCTTCCATCTTTCTAATCGGTTGTAGATCTGGAGTGAAAATGAGAAAACAGTCTGTAGACAAGTAATTTCAGAGACATGGAATCAAACAAAATTAAGCATTTTCTTAAGGCCAGGATTTTAACAATGCAAATTTTTATGCACTACTTTTAGGTTATTCTGATGTTGCGCAATAACATTTGCTGAATAAATCTCCCATTTCTAGCAATGCATGATGTTTGGCACTATCTGCTCATAAGGGAGAACTTTCTTCTGTTGACCAAAACAGGAATGATCTCCTTTTAGACTGTCTCTTAAGATCCACAAGAAAATAGTGTTTCAGTATGCTTTCAAGGTCTTCTTGCCTTTCACCTGAAAACCTTCCAATGTTACAGTGCTGCTTAGCATTCCTCCCATACACATGGATTTAGTTTTGCTGATCCTGTAGTGTGACATTCAGTACAGTCCAGTCTTACCAAGAAATCTAAACAAATCCTCTAGCTCATCGCTCCCAGAAAGCATTGTGCAGTGTCTTCCTTTTTTATGGATCCTCGCAGGACAGCAGACTAACTTGTTGGTTTCTTGCTTGTCTGATTTGGTCACTTTCTTATTCACACTTTATTCTTACTCCCTCTGAAACAGAGAGACCTTCTGTAACATACCAAGTGACCTTACAACCTTCTTAGAAGCCTTGCTTCTCCAGTGGGTGCTAAAATTGGGATTAATTCAGATCACTTTCAACTGCATCCCTGGACTCCAGGAGAGACCTAGGCTTAAAGCTAGATGAAGTATAAGGCTCCTGTCTCTCTCATATCCTATTCCAGAGCTTTGCTTCTTGAAGTACCCAAAGGAGCCTATCTTTAGGACCCTACCTGGGCCTGGGTTCCTGTCCCCTCATATGCCATGAAATTTTTTCCAATTGCCACTCTTCCGTTCAGCCTCAGACCCCTTACTTTGGCACAAGTCCGAAAGCAAGGACAGCTGCTCCAGGTCTCTTGGTTTTTCTTTTTTTCCTTTTCTGTGAGTCCTACTAGCAGAAAAAACTTCATAGGAAGAGTGAGAAACCAAATGTGTTTTTTTGGAGAAACAAGAATTCTCTCTCCTATCGAAGTTTAACATATCAATACCTGTTCCAAGTTATGTCTGAGATGTTTGAGATGGAGACAGACACTGAGGTTAAGCTCAACTGCCTATGTTATAGGGTAATAATATCATTAAGCTTCTCTTCTGGAGGATTAACAATTTAAATTTGCAGACCAAAATTAAAGAAAAAGAAGGGCTACAAGGGCAGCCAACATTTTGGCCCTAGCCTTTCAAGGTCAGTAAGGACTCAGGAAATAGGAGAACCTATACTGTAACATCCTGTAACTCAATTATGTCACAAATTTTCTGATTAAGGAGATTTTGGGGCCACAGAGGAAAGTGATTGATGATATAGAGTGTGCCTAAGGAGAGTCACATGGAGAGAAAACATTCTCTCAAGCTTTCACAGAGAGCAAATTGGTCAACCAATGGCTGTGACTCATCCATATGGCTGACACTCACAAAGGATCTACAAACTGAGGATAGGGTTTCAGGTTAAATCCTGAGGGGATTTGACTGACCTTATACAAAAGTTACATTTCTTGTTATATAGGTCTTGCTCTTTCTTGGTCTTAACCATTCAGCAGAAAAGTATGAAAATGAAGTATAAAAAGTAAAGCCATATTAATATGATGAGCTGTAAAAGGCTCAAGTCAACAACTTCAGACATTGGCAGTTTTATGGAAAACCCACTACTATTATGGACTATTGGACTATATTGGGATAGTTTGCTGACTTCATGTATGTACAGTATTTAAATGACAATGGAATGCCCTTCTCTGACAAAACTAACCAAAAAAGGGGATACAAATGAGCGATCATTTTGTATCTGTATTCTCAAAGTAGTTAGGATAGATATACAGCTCCATTCTCTTAATCCAGTTAATAGAAAAGCTTGTTCTAATAGTGTTTGAGACAGGACATCAGGTCTGCATCTTGTGCAATGAATAACCACTAAGACAACAATATGTAATGTATTAATTATTGAAAATGTGCTAGTAATCGGTTATGAAACTGTCTCATTGCTATTTGTTTCTCAATAAAAATATTTTTAAAAAAAGAATTTTCTGTGTAGTGTTAGAGAAACACTTCAGCCCAGGTATGTGGTGATGAGAAAGACAGTGTAACTTGACCACTGTCCCCAAGCAGTCCTACCTGTCATCCAGCAGATTGTGCGTGGACTGCTGTTTCATCCGTTTCCTTGCAGGCACCATGGATGTTGTGGCGGGTTTGTCTTCACTAGAAGCTTTCAAGGAATGTGTGGCTAATTTTATTTGAGGAGTTTTCATATACCATCTCCCAAGCTAGGAGGGCAGTGCTGTCACTTGTATTATTGATTTCATTGCCACCTCTTGGGTTCCTCCGTCCTCAGGAAACATTTGTTTTCTTTTGTCAGTTCCAGAGACAGATGAATATACCTGATGTCAAGAGAAGATTGGTGACACAAAGACAGAAACAGTCTTTTTTTTTTTTAAGCCTATACACTGATTTTGCGTTATTGATAGGAAATATAATAGGTTACATAAAAGGCCCTGAACCTGTAAAAGTCAAGTGATTAATTTCTTCCCATGGTGAGGGCAGCACAAAGGGGACCTAGGTACTGTTGCTTTTCCTAGCTGCAGCTCTACAAGACAAGGAGGGCTGTGCATCAGTGTTGAACTGAACTAACTGGGAAAGTAACCGAATGGCCTTTGGGATTAGAAGGTGAGGGATGTAAAGGAGTTTTGGAGTAAAAACTGCAAAGGTTACGTAAAGCTTTTCTGGTAAGTCTAACTATTAAGGATTGCTTCAGGAATTCTGCTTCAGTGTTCTGGAAAGATGTTCAGGGTGGTGCTTTTTACCATTTGTCAGTGCATTTGATTTTCAAAATGTGATATTTTAGATGTCATTTGGTTCATGGAGTGGGCGGAACGGTACCAGTGTTGGTTCAGACCCTGCAGTGGGAGCTGAAGATTGAAACTGAACAGGACAGCTGTTGAAATTGCCTCCCCTCACCAAGGGCAGCTCCTCAGACTAGAAGTGTGATGGCAATTTCATTTCATTAGGAATTTCTGTGTGTCAGGATCATCTTTAGTGGCACGGAAAGCGTACAGCAAAATGTATTAAGTCATTGTTTTCTTTGAAAAGGGCACTGAGCGTGAAGCAGAAAGTGGTTGCCCCTTGTGGTTTTAACCAATTAACCACAGAGGAGTTTAAAAGCAACCTGAATTTTACCTCTTTGAATGGACTTTTTGTTCCCTGTTTATGTAATTTCATCCCAATTCATCTGAATTATATGCTAGTCACTTCCTGTCCTGGTGTTTTTCTGCTTCTTCAAAAGACATCAGAAATTAGGCTGCTGTTTCTTTAATACTTGTTTCTGTTTTTTTTGCAAATGTACTTTTCCCACTACTAAGTAATGGCTGTTTCATATTTTAAGATTTGCTTGAAGTAATGATACTCAATTCTAGATGTCTCGAAAGTAAAAACCTATAGCCTCCTGAACTTTCCTCTATTGAAAAAAATCTGTCATGAAAATTAGAAAATTGTCTAAGCAGTGTATTTTTCAATGTTTTCAATACTTCCAAGTAAATTGATGGTAAAAATTGACTGTGCATTAAATATTTACTTAAAACAAACTAAATAATTTCTGATGGTTTGATTCAACTAATATTTTTTGTATTTTCTGGTATTAATAAAGAAAGAGTTGTGTACGGCGAATAATGAGGTTTTATAACTGAGTGCTCTCACCTCCTCTCGTCCTGTTCACCAGGGAGGAGGGAGTCTCGGGCTCTACTTTGGATTGTTGTTGATTTTTACCAACAGGTGTCTTATTAAGGATTTCGAAAAGCGGCCTTCGGTCACACAGCTCCTGGACCACCCGTTTATTAAAGAAGCTCACGGAAAGGTTATGCTTCTGCAAAAACAGCTGGCCACAGTGCTTCAAGACCAGAAGCATCTGAACCCTGTTGCTAAAACCAGGTACAGTTCCCCGGGGCTTTCTGCATCTTCCCTCCTGTTATTTATAAAAATGGCGTGGCACGCGTTTGGATTTTCCTGGCCCTGTCACTGAGAAGGATCACGCTGCTGCGCGTGGCGCAGGTGCATCGATGTGACACGGAGCACTCCCTGCCGGGAGGGAGAGCAGGCAGCCTGCACAGACCAACAGCCTGTGTGTCCTTGGTGGCTAGTGTCCCTCCGATGGCTGAAGCTTCACCTCCTGTTCAGTTAGCTCTAGGTAAAAATTTAGAGACATATATATGTTTATATGTAATATAAATGTGGATATTTTGAAGCCAAAAAGGGTAACTACAAAAGCAGCCACAGCTGAGATTGTCTGAAAAATCTCTACCTAGCTCTTGCAAACCAGAGAATCAAAATATAGGCTGAAAAGTGATTGTGGAAAGGTTATGTATTTAATAATAGAGGGGTTTTCTTTAATACTCTCAGAGACTGTTTCTACTTTAGTTAAAAATTCTAGAGTCAACTTAATATTTTAGATAATTATTTCAGCTCTTGTCTAAAGCAACTGTGATTCTTACTCCATCCTATCTATCCCCCTTTTAAAAAATGATAGATCTTTAAAAAATGTTTATTTTCAGGGACAAGTACTTAAAACAGTGTTTTGTGGTGAATGCCAAACAAAGATCACTGGTTTCTGTCCAGAGGGTGGCAGAATTTCTCTTTAAGAAAAAAAAAAGAACTATAAATAAGCCTACTTCTGCTCAGCAAGTATTTGGTTTTATAAAACTGGTCAGGATACAATAAGTTCCAGTCCATTATTACTGAATAAACATTCAAAGTACTGGAGGTGAAGAAAATTAAGTCTTGTTAAGTCACAAGTTGTGGAACTATCCATGTATTCTGCAGAAAATGGGTTCCAAAGCAAGAAGCCAAACAGACAACAGACCTCCAGCTAGCCAGAGGCATAATATTGAGGCAATTTTTCTCCACCACAACCAGCTTTCCTTTTAGACAGTTCAAAACACATCTTTTCCTACACGGTGCGAGTTTGTTTCTATGACTTCTCTATAGAGTGGAGAAACAGAAACATTCTTGTAATTTGGTGTCTTTTTAAAGCACTAGGAACTTGTGATTAAACCCTGGAAGCTGATGTCTCCTTTCTTCCTGCGGCCTTTGTCTCTGTACCAGTCAACAGAGAGTCCTCTACAACCTGTTGTAGTGTACACTCAGACAAACAGACAGACAGACAGACAGACACACACACACACACACACACACACACACACACTCATGTGGCACTACCACCCAAAATGAAGATGAAGTACAGTGAGACATAAGCCCAGCGCTTAAATGCTCTAAGTCAAGTCCTGTCCCCTTCGTCTTCTCGTTTGGAGATCTGCTGCCAGGTTTCAACTGCAAAGTTAGCTACGTCTGCCTTATTTCACCTGGACAGATCTGTGCTCTTAAAAACAACAACCGGAACAACAACAACTTTTCTTCTTTGCCACTGAAAAATCATAACTACGTGCTCTCCCATTCCCTCGCTCTAATTTTTCTTTCTTTGTTAACTCTTTTGACGTCAAAAGCCTGACAGGATGGCAAAGGCTTCTCACAGAGTCTTTGTAATTCTGAGTTTCTTGCAGCAGTTTATGTTTCTTTGCACAGTCACAAAAAATACAGCCTCACAAATAGATGTCAAGACTTTAAATGGCCTCCTTTTTAAGAGGCAGGGGAATTAATTCCGAAGGGAATACAATACATGTAATCAATAGTTGCCATGCTACTAATTCTACAGGGTAGACCCTGTACTAAATACATAAAAAACAAGATGACTTCTAATTCTACAGAATCACTTCTGATTAGCAGCTGCTGAAATGTTGGCTATGTATGAAGTGTAATGAAAATATGGTGACTATTTATTTGGTTCTTCAAAAATAATTATGACAGCAAAAGACACATTGACATTAATCACCACCAAAATTCCCCCTTTACTTTGAAACTCCTTATCCCATCATTTTTTGTGAAGGCTCACCTGGATGACTCTCCTTGAGAGAAGAGCAGTCATCTCTGCTTTGCCTAAACCTGGCCCTGTTTCCATGTAACGTGCAGAGCTAGCTAGGACTTTTCTTCATCCCTTCAACTGGATTTAAGCAATGCAGATTGGTCCAGCCAGGTGCTGATGTATAGTCTGCAAAGCAAGGCAGCAGGCCAGTGTTACCCCACCTAGCTCCCTATATCCCCCAAAACCTGTTTGAGCCACACTTTACACTGCTTATTGGCTGGATCTAGCCTTGCCTTGAGGCTCTGACTTCCCAGGATATCAGAGCTAAAACACTGACCCCAAAGCATTAGATACTACCTCAAACTGTGATTCGCAGATTACTCCCTCTGTATATCCTTCTCTCTGGAAATTGCAGAAGTGATTGCAGGCCTCCTACCTAGCCCAGCTCACAGCGCTCACTTCCTACCGTTCTCACAGTCACTCATCCTGGAGCCACTGTGTTCTTCATGAGTTAATAAACCTGGGTGTGACTCTGGGTGCAGGCATTGGTTCCCGTTAGGAATCACCCTAGGTGCATTTAGGACCCCTTGGCTCCCCACAACTACAAATACGTTTTGTGTCTTTATTCTCGCCAAGGATTGCATGAAAATGGTAGATTGGAATTAACTCGCTGGAATACCAAACACTTTTCCACAGGATTATAAGTATCCACTTCTCAGACCACGATGAGGACCAGGAAGGGCTCTCATAAGCCTTGCCCCTTTCTGAAGGGGTTGTGGAAGTCCTCCTTTCCGGTTGTCTTTAGCGTGCTGCTGTGATTGCCTCAGTGTCCTGAATTGATTTAAAACATTCATCTTTCATGGTCAATTTGGCTTTGGAGAAGAGCCAGAGGTTGCATGGTGCCAGGTCCAGCAAATAAGGTGGAAGAGGATGCATTGTCGTATTATATGAACTACCTTTTTGTTGGGTGGCGTGTGCAGCAACATTCATTGTAGGTTTTATCATGCCTCTTAAAGTACCTGGGAAGCAGAAGCTGCCTCAGGAAGTGGCAAGAACAGTGGAATAAGTGTGTTTCAAGCAAGAGGGAGGATTATGAGGAGAATTAAAGGCAGTGTGTCTTCTGTTAGGATAAATATTTTATTTTATTTTTTAGTACAGGGTCTACAGGGTACAGGGTCTACAGGGTCTCACTATGTAGATCAGACTTATAGTGACTCTCCTTTTCAGCCTCCCAAGTGCTGGGATTACAGGCGAGTGCCACAACGCCCAGTCTCAATGCAGTCTCAGCGCGCCCCAGGGGCGGAGCCGCCATGGTATGCCAGGGATCAGGCCCTAGCTGCTGCATGCTGCCTAAGTGGAATAAATACTTTAAAATTTTAGCATTCACTGTATATTTTGATCACATCTCATAGGTTTTTTTTAATGTATTTTTTTTAAATGTATTTGGTACAGGGTCTCACCATGCAGTTCAGACTAGTAGTGATCCTACTGTTTTCAGCCTCCCCAGCACTGGGATTACAAGTGTGTGCCACCATGCCTGGGCTCGGTGGCTGGCTCAACATGCCAAGGGGTAGGGCCTGTGCTCATGTGGTACCCAGGATTGAACCCCAGTCCCTGTGCTTGCCTAAGCACACACTTAGTCTGCTGAGCTCTCTCACTGGCCCACGTGGATGTTTTTAAAGCCCACCTAGGTACACTCTCAGCCATCATTTGATGTCAATAAATCAATGTGTTTAGGGTCATGAGCTTCTCCAACTTGTGGAAAGGACAAAAAATAATTGAGCTGAGAGGACAGATAAGTGAGGCACATGGGTGCTCGTCTTTTTTGCAAGTGACCTCCATAGAGCAGGCAAGACCAGTGGTAGTTAGACCACTGAGTCGGCCAGGTTTGAGTCCCGGCTCTGCTACTCATTGGTTGTTACTGACCTTTTCTTTTTTGAAGTTTCTTCTATAAAATGGACATTGTTTTGAGGGTGGAGGCTGCTATAAAATGATTGTAACAGTGCTCTTAATGTATTTGGTACAGGCTATCATCTTTCAACAAATGGCAGGGCTGGGGAGATGGCTCAGTGGAATAAGCGCTTCCCTGGCAAGTGCAAGGGCCTGAGTTCAATCCCCAGTTCCACCAAAAAAAAAAAATAAATAAAGAAATAAAGAACAAAACAAAATTTAAAAAACCCAAATGGCAGTATACAGTCTGCTTAACTTAGATCCTTTCATTTCTTTTTAACACTAGCTTCCGCACCAGGGAGATGGCTCAGTGGAATAAGCACTTCCCTGGTAAGCATAAGGGCCTGAGTTCAATCCCCAGTTCTGCAAAACAACAACAACAACAAACAAACAAACAACAACAAAAAACATATTTGCAAAACACTAACTTCCTCTTGCCCTCAATCTGTGAGAATGTATCTTCTTATTTACTTTAGAAGATCATGACAATAAACAGTCTGGAGGTAATGTAGAAAGCACCCACTTCTATCTCTTACTTAAAATCTAATTTATTCATTTATTCTTTGTAGAGACATTGTATCAGGTCCTATGCTACACATGGGAACTACAAAGGCAGATCAGATAGGGTCACGATAGCGAGCTAATAGTCTGATGTGTGATACAGGCAAGAATCAGATAAGTGCAGCTCACATGAAATGCCTGGGCTACTACAGAGCCCTTGGGAAGGGACATCTAGGACAGCTCTGGGCTGGGATGCTTGGGGAAGACCCCCAGGAGCTGGTGGGGACAGCGTCCTTGAGCTGCCCTGGAGAACAAACAGAGGGAAGGAAGCTATACTAGGCAGAGGGAAAATAATGAGCAATGGGCAAGGAGCAGAGGCACAGGGCTGGAGAGAGCATGGCCTCACTGGACTAGCTGGCCTCACAGAAGTTCAGGGAGAACCAGGTGGGAGGAGAGACAAGGCAGGGAGGGGTCAGCTCCTGATGGGGCCAGGGAGCTTGGTTTTGTTCTTTGGGCAGTGGGGAGTCACTGAAAAGGTTCAAGCAGGGATGTGTTCCTGCAGGCC